GAGATCATGAGTCGATTGAAGCTAGATCATCATGGAAAACACAAAAGCACTGGACGGCCATTTCATCCTATTGTGAAACACCACGGAAGTGTGCATTCATGATCCCACCTTGCGAGATTCCAGCCCAGGACCTATCAGTCTCGCATGCGAGCATTTAAGCACTAGATCACTAAGCCGACATTCAGCGGTGTTAATGTATAACTTCAACTAATCTATAAAATTGAGCGACACATCCATCATTGTCTTCAGTGATTTACTGACTCACACCAGACCCACCTGAACTGTACTGGTCACTGCTTCTCACTAGAACTCCAGTGAATATCTCTTGAATCCAGTTACTAGCGAGCATATGTTGGTTAATATCAGTGGGGACAACCAAATGTATTTCAATACAACATATTTCATTTGCAAAATATCCATCAACTGTCTCAGACTTTAATGTCCCTTCGAATCCATACCAATCACTCTCTGTTCTTGTTCTCTTCGTCTCGATTTTCTCAACCTTGTGCTTCCAGGCATTTCACTTTCGTTTGGTGATACATACTACTTAAATCTGTCAGCATCAGTAGCACACAATATATTAGTGTCGGTAGTATTATTACTGTGTTTAATTTAGCAATGAAACATGCCTAATAGTTAACCAAATGGTGTACATCACTATCGCACATATCATATATATAGAAATATACACTTCAGTATGTATATATCCATCTTTGGGGACAGTTGGGAGAGAATGAGGCAAGTCAAATCCTATACACAAACACAATTACAGACTGATATATACATACATAAAATAAAAGGTTTATACTGATTTATAAATGCTCTATAACACACTAACTTTAAATGTAACCATTTATGGTATTTGCACTACTGATCACTAAAGACATAATACAATAATAATAATAATAATAATAATTTGTGCTTTCTATTTATCCAATGACAATGTCACATTTTGATATTTATTTTAAATCTACTAAAAGGTTTCAATAATAATTAAATAAATAAATAAACAATTCATTATTGAATATTGAACAATTCCGTCTATTCAACAGTTTCAATGTTTGTTTATTGTCTTTCTTTAGATATTCATAATAAAGATTATTACTATTATTATCCTGTAATGATTATAAATAAATCTTTTTTCTTAGTGAATAATTCATAATGAATTATCTAATGGGTGGTCGTTAATAATAGTTCATTCTATAATGAATGAAGATGTATTAAACTAATCTAAGAATTATTCCATGTTTATTGAACAGAATTGAAAGAAACAAATAAAGTAGGAAATATATTCAATTAGAAACAGTTGTAGTGTTTAAATATTTACTTAATCATTAAAAGCAATTATGAATAGGATGTTAGATGAATTCAGATTTTATGATGATTGATTGCTATGCGGAAGAAAAAGCTAAAATAAAAACAAGCACTGGATAGCTGTTTCATCAGTCAGTGGTCGAGAATGCTGGTTGAGGTATGAGGGTGGTTATCATTGCCCGGTTGCCCACACCGTGGAAGGGTTCTACTGGAGGTACTTGAAAAGGAAATTAGATTAAAGGTGGTCTTAGTGACTTGAGAGAGTGACCGCCATGCCCAAAGCCAACTGCTTGAGGTCGGCCAAACACGATATTTTTGTGGGTAATTTTTTGTGTTAGATTCGTACTTGTTGAGACCTTACCACCGGAAAGGGTTATCCGTGGCATAAGGCGAGGTGTGCATTTTTAGGGTCGACCTTTTCTAACCCCACCCCTCCTTGTGGGAAGGCAGCATCGCTGTTATGATGGTTGTCCGAAGGAAACACCTTACTGCCATCACACCTCTGTACAGTCAGTAGTGCGATTTCGCCCTCGAACCTTGGGTTTGCTGCTTTTAGTTGGAACTTTATAGATCCAAATAATCTGTAGGGAAAATTCTTTCTAAACTGTAAATGTAAGCTGATTTTGAAATTAATTCTTGAAACCTTATCAAGAAATTATGACCAGCGATGTGAAACATTCATTATTATATTATGATCTTCTCAGTATATTACGATGTCCAAAATCTGTACCACTGGTTAAACCCTTGCTGTTAGACTTGAACATCCTGCGTTCTGTCCTTGAAAAAGTCATAGATGTGCAATTCTCAGTAACTGTCGATAATATGAGGTCTCTCTAAAACCTAATTCGTCATACAGAAGCTCCCTTGAAAGAATGTTATTTAGTCGTATGAATGAGTACATTTATTACGGGTTTTTTTTCGAACTTAGGATTGAGTACACATACATATTATTCGATTTAGTCATATAAACTTCATTCCTCCTGTTCTATCTTTTCTGTCGAATATCAGAGCTCGTGTTTTGAAAGAGTATGTATTAGTATTGTAGTGAACAGAACACCAGTGGGGACAATCGAATATATTTAACACGAAATTACAGGACTTGTTAGTGAAATCTAACAGTCATAAAGTAAATGCTTAATTTGCAAAATGTCCATCAATTGTCTCAAAATGACTCAGACTTCATTGTTCCTACATTTTTATACAAATTGCATTTTTTTTTCCATTCTTTACTGTTCGATCCTCTTGTTTCTCTGCTACCAGACCTTCTGTTCACGACTAACATCATATACTACTTATATCAATATAAGTAGCACACACCAGAGTATCAACTCTCAGACATTACACATCACAATAAAGATCAAAGAATTCATCGAATATTTGTATAAATTCATTTGTCGTGTATATACCTTCGTTTAGTATTACATATCATTCACCCACATAATCCATTTTTTTTATTGGTTGAAGGGAATTAAAAAAATTCTACATGGTCATTTTAGTAGTCACTTAAGTTTGGCACAATGATTACACTTAATAATAGTTACGACTGATCAGCCAAATGTTTGCCACATACCGCTCAAGAGACATAGGCATCACTTCATAGAATTTTGTCCAATGGTTTATGAATTTCTATTAAATTTCCTATATTGGACTATATTTAACGTTATATATTGAGAATAAGTACGATAACTTTAAGCCAATAAATTAAAATTCAGTGAAATAACTATCTTCACATATCATAGATGAATAATTACTTTACTTTTAAAATGGACCATTCCATAAGTTCCTTAATCGAATGTTGATAAATCCATTTCAATCATGATGAATATCGGTGGGCATATTATCATTATCATTTATGTTCATATTTGACGGAGATAGCAGGTGATGTAAACTGCTTTGTAAAAAAATTTCCAATACTACCATTATTGTGTTGTCTCTCTCTCTCTCGGTATCATCCATCCTCTCTACTAATAACTATTAGCAACATTACTTCAATAATCAATAGTGGAAAATGGATCATATAAAATCATTATAACTTATCAAAAGATTATGTGTATATGTTAATATAATAATAATAATACATTAAAGTGATTCAATCATTACATTGAATTTACAACCATTAATAATTCCATATTATCATCCGGATAAACACTACCATGACTTGTCTATCAGTTATTGTTTAATTAAATTAAATCAATAAATTACTTTGTTTATTGTGATATACATGATATATATATGGTGTTTTATAATGTCTCATTCATCCATCGGCTCTTTTACACACACACACACACTCATTCACTCTCTCTCTCTCTCATTATATCTTTCTAATTGTCATTTTATCAATGAATTGATATAACCAACAACAACAACAACAAAAGAAAAATAAATTGTACACCTACTGTGTGAATGAATGTATAACTGAAACCAGAATGGGTATCAAAATTGATGAGATCATTTATAATTTCTTGATATTTATGATATTAAGATGTATGTGTACATGTGTGTGTGTACATGTGTGCATGTGTGTAGACACATGAAATTGACGCCAAAAATATTAGAAAAGTAACCACATTCATGTATAAACATTTGTGTTATATATATAAGGACATCAAAATAATCATTATTATTATTATCATTATAATACTAACCTGCTGGGAGGTAATCATAAAATTTATTTATTAACATGATAAATTGTCATGCACACACACACAGACACAAACACAAACACACAGAAAGAAAGAAATGATAAATGTATATTGTGTCGAATTAAGTTTTCATATTTCGCTTTTTTTAAAATTTTTATTTAATTTTTTTCTTTTCGTTTTTTTCTTTTTTTTCTTTTTTTAAAATTTTTTTTGGAATAATTATGATATAAAAAAAATAGTGAATAAATGAAAAATAAAATGAATAGAGGCTAATTATATTTATCTTTTGACGTCACATTCTTTTTTTTGTTATATATGAGGTACATATGTAATGAATATGTAATATAAAATAGAATAAATTATTGTCAGAGGGGGTTTTGTGGAGATTTTAAGAAATTTCACTAGTTGAAATCATGAGTTAATTGAAGCTAGACAACCATGGAAAACCTGTAAGCACTGGATGGCCATTTCGTCCTATTGTGGGACACCTGAATAGTGCACATCTACGATCCTGTCACGCGAGATTCGAACCCAGGACCTATCAGTCTTGCGCGCAAGCGCTTAACCATTAGACAACTGAGCCGGCATCCAACTGTGTTAATGTTAAACTTCAACTAATCGCGGGAGGCGGGATCGTGGATGCGCACTGCTGAGGAGTTTCATACTAGGACGAAACGGCCATCCAGTGCTTCCAAGTTTTCCAAGGTGGTCTAACTTCAATTGAGTCATGATCTCAAATATCCACAAAACTCCTGATAGGTATGAATTTTGTTTGCAAGAGTTTGTATCTTCTTGTTGTCGATATTACAAAGTAAATTTACTCACTCTCTTTTGACATATAGGCATCCTAGAGAACTAGCTACAGTGTTCGAGTTTTAATATCAAAAGAAACACTGAAATATAGCAGGTATATCCGGATGACGGGTCTCATTTGGGACGAAACGTGTATCCATGAATTCACTAATAGTCAAAACCAGATTTTATTAACATTGGTAAAGAATCGATAGTAATCATAATCAGTGAAGAAAACAATCAATAACCTACCTTGTTTTTGACTAGTCAATCCAATTACTTCAATATTATGGTTTTCATTCTCTTCACATTTTGTGCGTTTCGCTTCGGACAAATATGGTTTACATGCATGTAGGGATTCATTCAATCTTCTCTTCTGTTCGGTTATATTCATTTGACTTCGAATGTTTCTCATAGTCATATCAGTACTACTACTAATACTACTACAAATGCTACTGTTGATGCTACTAGTAGTACTAAGATTACAAGGGGTAGATGTAGTAATCGTAGAAGTACTGTTTAATATTTCAATAGGTGAACTAATAGTATTCATCATTTCAGTTGATGAAGTCGATAAACCGAAGAGATTCGAATCAAACTCATTCATTGATGTTGTATTATGTAATTGTTCATATTTTTTTGATCCAGGCAAACATCCATATGCAGCTACTGTAGCGGCTGCCAATGCTGCGAAATTTGTTTGAACCATAGATGTATTAGTTAATAAATTGAATTCATTTGTATTTTTATGAGTTTGATTATAATTTCTTAACCAATCACTACAATCATTCAATACCTCATTAATTACAGGCATCAGGGATATATTTTCGGTACTATTATTATTTCCAGTAGCCAATGAACGATTGATCATTGCTGTGTTAATCGATTTCGGTTGAATCGCTGACAATAACATTTGTGGTGATAATAATGAATTTGAACTGTTACTATTATTATTATTATTACTACTACTACTATTATTATTATTGAATAAATTGCCTTCAGTGAAATTGAACAAATTCGGATCTGATAATAATGAATTATGATTTTGTGTAAAATGTAAATGAAATTGTTGAAAATTATTAAACTGTATATTACATTGTGGACATATCCAACAATTTTTGTTAACATGTTCGTGAAGATCATATCCAGTGCCCGATGATGGTTGTATGACTGATGTCAATGGAAGTGGTTGTGATTGTGGTGGCGGTGGTGGTTTTATATGTAATGGAACTGAAAAACAGAAAAACAAAGGTTTTCTTATAAACACTATTACGTAATCAATCGAACCGTATAAATGAGATGTGTCATCATTAGATGGTGATCGCTCGATATCGCGTATTGACTAAAACTAGAAATGTAAATGATCTTGTGTCAGTTCGACGGTCCGAATGTTAAGTATTCTACTGGGAGTCTAAAGATCCTAAGTTTTATCTTCAGTAGTATCAAGGATGTGTACTGTACAGAAGTTTCATATCTTAGGACGAAATATTTGTCTAGTGTCTCTTGATTGTCAATGATTATTAAATCAAAATTACTCCATGTTGTTGAACTACAAACTACTATTAATTACTATATTCAGAAATATTGTCTATCACACTCCACCTCCAAGCTAGTGCTTTGACATAGTATTAATTGACAATAAATATCAACCCAATTGTCTTTCACTCACCTATACTTTATTACTCTTTCTATATACTCCCTGTTTTTCAAAAGCCTTCTACTGCTCCAGTTATAATGAACTTTCATAAACGAAGCTTGTAATAAATATATTTATCGTTATAGTAAAATGCTTGTATTAAGAACTATTTTCACTAATAAAGTTATTAATTGTGGGGGTTTTTTTCTTCATTAGATATTCCAAATATCATGTTGTTTTGTGAAAAGGTATATTTCTTTTTCTTGGAGCCATTATACATATAATACATCATAGATAAACATGTAAGCACACGTCTATACACTTTTGTGTACATAACAAGCGTGGGATCCGTTTAAAATTACGTTATATATATATATATATATATATATATATATATATATATATATATATATATATATAAAGAGAGAGAGAGAGAGACCTTTTAGTTACAAAATGTTTGTATTTCGTGAATTGAAAATCACACAGTAACTGTCTAAATAATTAAATATTTCAGTTAACAATTTATGGAAACATATAGACATACATAGAAGGGATCATTTTAGCCCATTATACGTATATAATCTGTTTTTAAGTATAATATATACATAAAAGGATATGGAAGTATAGGGAATGAACCATTGAGCTTTGTTCAAAACGGAATAAACATGCATATAATAATAATAATAATAACTACTATTATTATGATTAGTATTAGTAGTAACACTAATAGTAGTATTGTTGTATTGAGGATAAACAAATACTGTGAAACTAGTTTCGGACAATAGTCAATGAAACTGATTTATCATTTTTGGTTCATTTTTCCCTTCCTCTTTGTCTACCTAGTTCTCTGGTGCGTTATCTTGTTCGCTCTCTTATTTACTTCCCGATTTCTATTCACAGAAGCACGTACATACTAGCTTACAATGGTTATATTCAGCAGCGTTATATTACATGTTAGTTAACCGAGTTGTCTTATAATAGACCACAATATGAGTGGGATTTATTTTCTATTCCATTTTTCATATTTGCATTGTTAGCATGCTGAATAGCTATATTTTATGGCCCCTTTCTATATTATTACATAAATGGTTATACAACAATAAGCACACACAAGTGCATATATGTATACACAATCATACGGTATACACATAAGGAAGAAAATGACTGGATCAACAATAAAAGAATTAACAATGAAGAGTTTTATGAACAAAAAATGAAATTATCAGAATGAGGATTTTTGGAGATTGTAGTAATTTTAACAGTTGAATTTATGAGTCCATCTAAGCTAGACCACCAATGAAAACCTGGAAACACTAAATTGCCGTTTAATGAAGGGTTGAGCGAAACTATGTATCGATTAAAGTTAGACATTAACACCGTTAGATGCAGGTTCAATGGTCTGGGGATTAAGCGTTCGTGCACGAAACCGAAGGTCTTGGGTTCGAGTTCTGTGTGCAAGACAGTGTGTGCACATTGTTGAGGAGTCCCATACAAGGACAATAACAAGGTGTGTTTTTTTCTACATAATCTACTGTGGCTGAACAGTCAAAGATATTATTTAGTTCTAAGCGTCCAAACTCTGATTTATGATTAAATTGTGTATACATATCAATTTGTAAGTTATTTTTAAAAAGTTTGAATTAGCTCAGTGATTAGTGTTTTTATGTTATATCCAGCTGGTGAACATTGAATAGGACGAAACAGGTATCGGGGATGAAAAAATTTAATGAACTTGTTTGAGGAGCCAGTATACCAACAGAGACTAATCAAATGTACCCATGAATTTAGACAGATTATTGTACCTTAACGAGTAATAGTTAAATTTGTCCCGAGTTTGGTCCCTCGTAGGGTCATAGGTAAACATTGCTAAGGAGTTCCATTCTAGAAAGGAACAGATATTTGGTGCTCTCTAGTTTTCACATATGTAACCTATAGATTAAACGAATCGTGCGCACTGCTGAAGAGTCCTATACTAGGACGAGACGGCCGTCCAGTGCTTCCAGGTTTTCCATGGTGGCCTAGCTTCGATTGACTCATGATTTCAATCTGTGAAGTTTCTAAAATCTCCACAAACCCTTTCTGATAAAACACACATGTTTTTACCTTTTAAAGAGAAATTTTCCAAATTCTCAGCTTCACATTGATTTAATTTACAATCTTTGTACAAGACATTCGGTATATTAAAAGGTAAATCATTCTCACTACTATAAACATTATTCCATGATGGATCAATATTTAATTTATTTACAAACTTTTGTGTATTTAGACTATTTTTATTAGTAACAGTAGTATCATTTGTATTGACAGTAGTATGTGATGTTGTTATAGACTCAATAATAGAATTATCATTATTATTAACTTTATTATTTCTTATATCAATTGGGTTATATTCAGTGAATTTCTCAGTCATATATGCTATTACATAATTCATAACAATTGGTAATGGTAACATATGTGTAATTGTTAAATGTTTGACAAGATTTTCAATTACACTATTACCACTACCAATCCCATCATCATTTCCACTGGTATTTATTATAGGCTGACGACAAATAAAACATTGTATTAATGAATGATTATGTGAAAACATCCATTGACTTGTTGAATTAATCCCTGTGATGCAATTCACTGGTGTTTGTTGTAATGATGATAATGATGATGATGATGGTGATGATGATGATGTTAAGTGCAAGCCTGATAGAATTGTATCATTACCAAAAGGATTATGATTATAATTATTAATCTGATTGAAATCTAATAAATTTGTATCATAATGTTTTGGATCTACAAATGGTGTGAAATCAATAATTTGTGATACTTTCTGATCATCTTGTTGATAATGAGAATGTGAATGTTGAGATGATGGTGATTGCTGATGTTGTTGTTGTTGTTTACTTTCATATATTTGTTCTATATTATTATAAAAACATTTGATTGGATTAAATGATTGATTTTGTACAATATTCATTAGATTAGAATAATTTAATACTTTATTATCATTATGTGATAATGTTATGGTTGGAGAAAAATGATTAATTGTTGATGAAGTCATTGAAGTATTCTGTAAATCATTATTCAATATGGATAATTTACTAGAAGGATTTTGAATAGATACATTTGATGTAGTTTGATTATCTATATTGTCTTTTATAAATGGTTCAATGGTTTCAATGATTATATTCTAGAAGATAGAAGAAACAAATAAATTATTAATGTTTACACAACCAACATTAGAAAATGATGAATATTCCAGTTTAGATTAAAGTTATTTGGGAAAACACACATTGAAAACCAATCAGTAGTTAACACCTGTTTTGTTCAGGTGTAGAACTCTTCATTAGTACACATTCATACCTTAACCTGAGATCGAAGCCATGATCAGTGGAGCTAATCCATGTCGGGTAGAGACGGGTATCTACCTCAGTACAATGGAAGTTGGTCGCGCAATTTCATGGATTGGTTGATGTTAGACACTATCACCGTTGGATGCCAACCGGCTCAGTGGTCAAGTAGGTTAAGCGTTCGCGCGCGAGATCGAAGGCCCTGGGTTGGAATCTCGCGAGCGGGCTTGTGGGTGCACACTGCTGAGGAGTCCCACAATAGGACGAAACGGCCGTCCAGTGCTTCCAGGTTTCCAAAGCTGGTCTAACATCAATCGGTTCATGATCTCAATCAAAAAAAGAATTCAGAATCGTTGGATGATTTGATAAGTTGTTAAATTTCATACTATTGAGTTGGCATCCATTAGTGTATATAACAAGTTGATAAGTAGATCTAACCTATCGGGTTATGTGATAAATTAATATCAATGACTCTTCAATAGATATTTTCACATATTCTCTCTATTCTTTATCTAAACTAACCATATGCTCACTAATGAGTAGATCCCAGATGAATTTTCAACTCGACCAGCGGAGTTCAACTGTGTTGAAAATGAAACAGTATCGCGTATGAACTAGGATTGGAAATATAAATTAGTGAATAGTAATGTCAATCACAACTTTTTAATTTTATTGCATGATGCTGAAGTGATACAGTCATTTGAACTGTAGTACATTTCTGTCACAATCTAAGTCGATTGTTCCCCATTGATTGACTGAATGCTAACTCAATAGTCTAAAAAGACAACACGGTAGTAGTGGTACCAGGAAGTCCTCAGTTCGATACGAAATACATTTACAAACTAAAACGAGACAGTTGTACAAAACTGTTTTAAATGCAAATTTAAACTTCTATAAAACCCAAACATGCCTACGATTTACAGTTTTTCGTTTTGATAAATTATTCACTTTAAACTAACTCAAAAAAGAATTATTCCTTATTGACTGGTGCCGTTAAGATACACACACATACATAACTTATTCCCTATGTAGATAAGGTCATCCCCATAAAACAATATTCAAACAACATGCTATTACCACGTCACAATGCTACTAGAAACTTGATTTTAGTCAACGAACTCATAATACAATCTTTATTTATACTGTTAACACTGTTGTTGTATACGAATCACCAAACCGCCACTTTCAAATGCGAATTGACTTATCCATATATACCTAGTAGCTTTTTATCTAACATCTGAATAATAAGACGGATTAAATTCACTTGATATTGTTTGCTTGAATCTTCTCATTGATGTTTAAGACTGGAATTGATCAATAGCTAAATGGATAATGCGATGCTGTTTGAAACGGACAATACTGAGTTCGAGTTCCAGAGTGAACATCAACTCTAAGATACAGGTACATCCAGTTGACAAGTGTTAAATAGGACGAAGTGGCACCCGTTAAACTTGATTCCACTACTCGTCACTATCCATCTTTGCATGTTTATTTTCCGATGAAATTCTCCTGTATTAATACTATTATTATCATCATTAATATCTGTACACTTAAACATATTGATAAACAAAAAATATTCATTTATTTATAATTTTGTAGTTCATTTTCGACCTTTTTTGACTAGAACAAAAAAAAATAAACAAAACACTTAATCAATCAATTTATTATTTTGGCGAATACGTATCCATGTATATTCGTTTGATCACTATGCCTAGTTACACTTATTATAACATTATTAAACAAATATTTATCTATTTTGTGTTCTCCCCCCCCCTCAAGAAAAAATTAATAAATAAGTTATTTATTTATCTGTGTTTACACATTAATATTTATCAATTCAATTAGGATAAATCCAATGATGATTTGTGTATATTTGTCTTTTTCAGATTTCATCTGTGCGTATGTAAAGTTGATTAGAGTGTAACAAACTAACGAAATAAAATAAATAAATAAAGGTAGTCGGAAAGAGATTCACAGAGATTTTTTTCTCTTTTCGGTTTCTTCTTTTCTCGATGTTTTTTTGTATGTTTCTTTTGTTCTTCGTTGTTGTGCTAGTGATAAATTACTTATTATTGGAATTATTATTATTGTATTTCATGTGCGGATGTGTGTGTGTGTGTGTAGGTGTTTGGGTGCCTACCTGTTTCCTTTCTGATTTTTTTCTCACACTTAGACACCATTTTTTTCCTTATAAATCTCAAGCACCTGTTAAGTGAAATGTGAATATTTGTAGCTTTTTCCTTGCGTTTTTCTCTATTCGTTTTCCGTGTTGTTGTCTTAACTAGTTTTCAGCCAAAAATATCAACAATAATCATAGGAATAATTATACAAAAAATAAAGCAGTAAAACCCATCAAAACACAAGCATACTCATATCATTTGACAGATACTAATTATAACCATAATCAGTAGTATAATGGACTACTTTTTGTGCTTATATGTATATAGGCAGTGTATACCTATGAGATATCATAGTTTCTTTTTACCAACCGTTATCCAAAAAGTCAAGTCATTTACTATTTTGGAATATACACACAAATAATCAAATGGTTTGTGCATTGTTCCTTTTATTCTTTCAGTTTGTCTGGAGTTCACATCTTGTTGTTACAATTTATCAAAACCGGATCGCCGGTTTTTATACCAAATGTGTGTGTGTGCGTTTTTGTATGGGAGAGTGAAAATGAAAATGTTATTTATATATTTATTTATTTATCACTCCTTTCTTTTTATCTGAAAAGGTGAGAATATATTCCGTCCCAGCCTCGTCAAACACTTCTCTCTCTCTCGCACACACACCACAAAAGAAGCAAACATTAGAAACAAAAAAAACGAATAATATCGCTATTACATTATTACTATTATTGAATAAATAGTCAAATAGATTTTTTCTTATTATAAACTTGGTATTTTCTAGTTTTTCAGTGAAACTCTATAAGTTACCAAACTTCAACCCATTATATGTCTATCTGTGAATCTGTGAGTGTGAATATATCATGATAGAATCTCTTTAAAAAAACGAACACAAAGCTTTTTATGAATAAGTCTATAGCCATTTTTCAAAAAAAAAGATGTCAAACTTATATAGTTGTCTTGAGAAACTCATATGAATCCTATGGGTATTTTGAGTACATGAGGACATATGAAATTATTCAAGAGCTGAAGGCGAAGAGATAGGTGTTTACTTTCACCATTAAAGAAAATGAAAATAATCGTTAGCAAAAATAAAAGTTATAAATACATTCACACACGATTGATCCGTTAGTCACTCGTTATGTAACTAACGCTGTATTTTGACACTAAGGGATTGGCAGTAGCTAGCAAGACTGTCCAAGCATCATATGCAACACTACCCAGTAATCAATCAGTTGTAAATATCTCCATGCTAAAGGAGCTCAATTGATCCCTAAATCTAACAATGATAGTACCTTAGGGTGTGAAACTGAGCAACTTGGATTCTAGTTGACCAAGATGTATCACCCCCCAAGGATTTTGATAATGATGAAAGTTAGCTCAAGCAGATCGTTTTTCACCCTCAATCATTATAGATATATGTTTGCGTCAACTTCAAAGCAAAATGTATTTTCACTGACCTATTCTTAATTTGATTGTTTCCATAAAAAAATTTTTTCGCATGATTCGTTTGATGATATTTTGCTTATTTATTTTGTTAATTCACACTAATTTAATTGCCAATTTGATCGAAAGTTATATTTCATTATTATACCGTATATATATATACTACTAATAACAGTAATAACGTCTATTTTTTTAATTATAATCGTAAACATGATTATAGAGGGAAATGTAATGGACATAACACTTACACACACACACACACAAACGTAACATATTCATATATATGTGGCATTAAATTACAATATTTATGAAAACAAAACCGAGAAACCATCAGTCAACTGTAAATGGATGAATTCGTTAGAACATCCAAACTAATAGTTGGATCCAATTACTAGTAGTGATAATAATAATTATTATTACTATTACTATATTATTATTATTATTATAATCTAATTTGATGTATTCAAACAAATAACAATGTAGTTGTGAACAGATTAGTCTGTTGAACCCATAAACTATAGAATAATATAGAAAATGTATGGATAAATAAATATATAAATCCTGGAAGTATTATGAATATTGTGTCTAAATTGAATAGAAGATAGTTTGAGTGATCCATGTGAATATGAGTGTATGTGTGTACATACATGTATTGGCAACACTGTCGAAAAACAAACAAAAAAATCCGTGAATCAACGATTGATACCTCAAATGTGATAAATATATGTATATAATCATAAATAAGAAACGTTTTCGTACAATAGTATTCCTTATTATTATTATATCATGCGGTATAGTTCACAAACAAAATAAAAGAATGCAAAGAGGAGTGTAACAGCAACAAATTAGTTAATTTGTTTATGATTAAAAGAGGCGAAACTAACTGCTTAACCATTACATTTGTATATTATTATTATTATTAATAGTAGCGTGAGTGGTAGTAGTGATATCTTTGTGGATTAGTGTTTTTGAACACATATTACATAAAGATGAATGTACAGAAAAGAATGAATTTATTACATTCATTACCATGTTCCTAAACATTTTGTGCATATGTATGAACATGCACATTTGTTACATGATGAACTTCTAAGGTTCCTCATTAAAATTTTATTAATGATTGAAGTGAGACATTTCCTCTCTGTGTAACGGAATCGACTGATGATTAGGCCGCAATGTGAGCTAATTAAACTCGGTTGTATATTAAAACCAATTGATATGAAGGTAATATGTTTACAGGAAGAATTGAAAGTTCCTTGGTCCCG